GGGAGCCCTAAGAGTTCGACCATCCAGCCTAACTAGAATTTGAGCGCGCGCGCGAAGCGCGCGATGGTTATAGTATGTATGTATGTATGCATGTATGTACGTATATAGATATGTATGTATGTATGTATGGATGGATGGATGGATGGATGAAATGTATAGATGTATGTATGCATGCATGCATGTATGCATATGCATGTGGGTATACTTATGTGTGTACGTATGCGTACATGCATCCAATTATGTATGCACAACTCTATCTATATATATGCAGACATACAGGCATGCATGCATGTCGGTATATAGACAGTTATGCATGCATGCATGTATGTAGATGTGTATGCATGCATACATGTATGTACTTTTACATATTGGTACATACTTTTACACATCTATATGTATATGTATACGTATACGTATATGTGTATGTATGTATGAATGCGTGCATGTATGCATGTGTGCATGCGTGTATATGTGTATGTATGTATGTATGTATGTATGTATGTATGTATGTACGTATGTATGCATGTATGCATGTATGCATTTATGTATGTACATGTACATGTATATGTATATGTATACGTATACGTATACGTATCTGTATGTATGTATGTATGTATGTATGTATGCATGCATATGTATATGTATGTATGCATGCATGTATGTATGTATGTATGTATGTATGTATGCATGTATGTATGTATGCATGTATGCATGTATGTATGTATGTATGTATGTATGTATGTATGTATGTATGTATGTATGTATGTATGTATGTATGTATGTATGTATGGATGTGTGTGTATGTATGCATGCATGTATGCATGTATGTATGCATGTTTGTATGTATGTATACACGTATATATATATATATACATATATATATAGGTATTTTGAGTGTGTATGTGTACGCCAATCTATCCTCACTTCCAGTTTTGACTGCATGCTCCTGCAGCTCCTTGCTCCGAGCCCCCGCCCGCCAGCCCCGCTTCCCCGTGTGGCGCGAGGCGCTGGAGCGCCTCGGGCCCCTGCTGGACCTCCACGCGTCGCCCGGCGGCGACCTCTCCTCGAGGAGCCGCTGCGCGGGGTGGGCCGCCTCTCCCCCTCGCGGTCGGTCTCGGCCGCGCGCAGAAGGGGGCCTCCGAGGAGGCAAGGCACCGAGCGCGTCCCACTGCTCGCTCAGAGTGCTCGCTCGCAGGCGCTCGAGAAAACCGGGTCTTCCTTCGATGTGATGCGTCGCAGATCCCCCGTGGCGGATCCAGGCCATTTGCAAGTAGTTATAGTGGAACGCGCTTGTCTATCCCCCGGTACGCGCTGGGGAGGCGCGCGGGGTTGCCTCGGACAGGATCGCGCCGACGACGGCGGGGGGTTTCTGCCCCTTTGCGGCTCCTGGGGGCCCTCGCCGGGCCCGGGGGACCGGCCGAGAGCGGCTCGGGGTGCAGAACCGGCCCCCGGGAATCGGTTCGGGAGCTCCGGGGACTGCGCATCGAAGTGATCAAGACGTCGCACCCTGAGATCCTGGCGGTGCAATTTTTTCACACGGCGTTTGCGTTCAATTTCGGGCCCCAGGGTCGATCCGGCTCGAAAAATGGCGCAGAATGATGGGGTTTGGGTGTATGGTCGTGATTTTCTGCGATGTTGATTTTTTCTTTGCAGCGTCGGATCTCAGGGCATGCCCCGGCGGCCAGCCTGGGGGGGAAGTGAAGAGGGGGCAGGCCTTCTCAGAAAGCGGCGGGGCTTCTCAGAAAGCCTCGCGCCTGCCGCACAGTTTTCGGAAGCCCTCTCCGAAGGCAGGCACGGCTTCTCGGAAGGCCCGAGGGCTCCCGAGAAGCCCCGCCGCCCTCCGCGCAGGGCCTGCCCCCGCTCCCTTGCCCCCCTCGGCGCGCTGCGGAGTTCGGCTCGTGGGCCGTGGCTCGGATCTCCAGCTGCCGCTCGGGGCCACCCGGGCACCCCCCCGGAGCGCTCCCGGCGAGGCGCAGCTGCTGGGAGCGGCGCTCCGCGGCCGGAAAGCCGCCGAGATCCGAGGAGAGCTCCTGAGAGCGTCGAGCCTCGAGCCCGAAACCTCCGAGGCGTCCCCTCCTGGGCTCGCCGCCGAGTGTTCGAGCAGGGGATCGACTACAGAATCGATGTACCCCAGAAAGAATTTTCCCGGCGAATCGCGACCATTGCGTGGAATGCCCCGTACACCTGCGAGCCTTCTACGTACCTTCCGTGGATGCGATCGGGCAAGCAGTTTTGGGGTACAGCGGGGGCCCATGCCCAGACACGCCCTTCGACGTTCCCACACCACAAGTCGAGGGACGCCCTGAGGTCTCAGCTCAGGGCTTCTCGTCGAAGGTTTTGTGTGGTCGGGCCCCCACTGTAAAGCACTTCTGCAGTCGACGCCCCCCTTCGAAAGGCCTGGGCCCGGTCCGGCGCGGGGCCCTCCCTGGCCAGGAAGCTCGGCATGCACCTGCACTGGCTGCACGGCCTCGGGCCTGCGGCGGCGACTGGGTGCCACGAGGCGCCTCGGGGGCTGTCCGGGCACCCCGCAGCTGCCGCCGCCGCCGGGGGTCTCCGGCTTCTGGAGCGGCGACCCTCTTCCAGGTTGGAGAGCTGCTTGGGGGTCTGAGGTGGCCCAGCACTGCTCCCCGCCAGCATTATGTCGGGCCTGTCCCTCTACAGGAGGAATACTCGGGAATAGTCAAAAAATAGTCGGGGGACGGTTTTTCGATTATCTTTGAATCATTTCTGAGCATTGTTTGACAATTTTATGATGTTTCTCGCAACATTCGCCTGTAGGGGGACATGCCCGACCTAACGGTTGGCTGGGCGCCCCGCAGGCAGCTGACGCCGCCGCCTGGGGTCTCTGACTTCTGGAGCGGCGACCCTCTTCCAGGTTGGAGAACTGCTTGGTGGTCTGGCCCAGCACTGCTTCTGGCCAGCAGGCAGGTTCGAGATTCTGGGTTCGGGAAGGCTTTCGGTTTTCCTTTTTCGGCCGCCGGGGGCCGCTTTCGGGCCCTGGGACCGCGACATTTTGCTCTGGGGTGAAAAAGCTGCACCAGGTGGACCCTGGGAGGGGTCCGGGATTGATTTTCGAGCAGGTTTGGCTGCATCCCCCCTCCTGGCCGATTCTCTAGGGTACCAGCCAGTTCAGGCCCCCTGGCCGCCTCCAGCTTCCAGGTTCTATTTTTTCGATCCGATCGAATCTGATTCGATATCTGTTTTGGCCGTTCCGATGCGATTCGATTCCGATACGCCGACGTTCCGATACAACGTCCCGAAGCTTGCATGGCACTGCTGTGCATTCTGGCGCAGCCGATTCGATTCGATTCCGACTTCGTACCGATGCAGCTCAATCCGACGAAAACTTCGATTCGGTCCGATTGTGCGACTCGCTGCTGACTGAGCCTGCCCGTTTCCGGAGAGAATGACTTGCTCCGAGTTCCTCCGAAGCTTCTTGGGGTTTCAGGCAAGCATCGGGAGATCTCCAAGAGAGCCAGTCGAACGCTCCTCGGCTCCGCAGCTGCCCGAGCTCGACTCTGCGGGGGCCAGGGCCGAGGTCCAAAGTTGCCCTTCTCAAGAGTACTCGGAACGGCGCCTTCGAGGTCCACCCGCCCGCTGACGCTGGCTCGTCCACGTTGAGTGTCGACCAGGGGTCCTTCTTCTTGTGGGACATCAGGCAGAAGGAGCAGGAGGAGGAGGAGGAGGAGGAGGAGGAGGAGGAGGAGGAGGAGGAGGAGGAGATCCGTAGCAATTTTGGCTCAAGTCCGTAGCGTTTCGCTCATGTATCTGACCTTTCTGGCGAGGGGGAAATTGCGGCCCCCAACAGTTTCCAGCCTCTCAGCCTGTCAGGCCAGATTGCGTACTCCGCATTTTGTGAGCTCCTGGTGGAACATACTTTTCCCTGCTCGCACCTTCCATGGGCAGTCTCAGTCGAGGCGATGTCTGGTTCTGGCCCAAGAAGAAGTGCGGGTTCAAAACCACTTGTTCGTTCAAGAAGTTTTGCTACACATGTGGTGCCGAGCGTCCTCCTGTGCCTAGCTCTCCTCCTCCGGGGCCAGCAAACGGAGAGTGGGCCAATGGGCCGCCCAAGGCAGGTAAGCCCAAGCCCACGATGCTCGATGCCACGCAGCTTGCGATCTTTGTTAGGATGTCCAGCGAAGAATTCGAGACCGCCAGGTCCATCTTGGGGCCAAGCCAGCGCGCTTGTCTCGCAGCTCAGCGCGCGCAGGCTGCTGGCGACCCTAAGGCTGTGGCTCGGCACGCGCAGTCGGCGTACGACGAGGCGAAGTGTGAGGTGCTCCTGGCGAAGGAGAAGGCTGACAAACTCGAGAAGGAAGTGCAGGACAAGTTCAGGGAACTGGTCTGCCTCGAGCAGCTGCAGGATAACGAGAGGGGTAAGACAAGTTCAGGGTAAGCTCGAGCAGCTGCAGGAAAACGAGAGGGTCCTCGCCAGGAGGGCCACCGCAGCGTGGGCTGCGGTCAGCGGCTCGGCGGTTGGACGGTCTCCTGCCCAGCGTGGTCTTGTCGCTGTGTCTTCTGATGATCCTGGTTTCGCTGTCCTCATGCAGTTCGAGGCGCTCGACGGCAAGTTGTCTGCTTCACCCCGTTCGCTCATGGCCACTCGTGGTTGTCTTCTGCAGCCTGCCCCTTCCGATGGCGAGATCGACGACGTCGACGAGCCCGATGACGACGGTGGGATGGTCGACGCCCCTGAGCCGAAGCCAGTGCACGATCCATCGGTCGAGGCAGCTGCGCAGGCAATCTTCGGAGGAGGTGGCCTCGGCGCGGCTGCCTCGCCCTTGGCTGACGGCGCTGAGCCTGCCACCCGTGTGCCTAGCGGGGGGGGGAGGCTCGGGGCGGGGTCGGTGGAGGAACGCGGGGTGTTTTCGGCGGCCAGCCAGTTCTACGCAGTTCTCTTCTTTCCTTCAGCGTCTCACCTCGGACGACGGTTGGGAACAGTTTCTGCTGTCCAAGGGTCTCTCCAGGAAGCAGTGTGACGACGTTCTTGGAGGCCTTAATGACGCTGCGCTCAAGACGCGCAGAGCCAAGTATTTTGACAACCCCGACCCAGCGTCGGGTATTTTGCGTCGAGCGTTCCAGGCAGAGGTCTATCATCGCGGCCAATGTCGGAAGCCACGTTGTACTCGACGCCTTTGTGGCCGAAGCCATCTCTCCTGTGCTGATTCCGTTGCAAGAGTCGCGCATGCTGCAGCCTGCCTCCGAGTTTCTGGAGAGTGAGAGTGAGATGCGCGAGTCAGGTTGGGCGGCCTCTGCGCGTGCAGCTCGGCCAGTGCTCGTCGCTCCAGGGGGCCTGGTCAGTGCGACGGCGAAGCGTATTGGACTGGCCAAGTTGGGGCATATCGATTGTCGAGCGGTACCTGCTCGTGTGTCGATGCATCGCGTTGTTGGCTTTCTCCGTGGTGGCTTCGTCATCGTGAGTGTTCATCTCGTCCACTCTGTCGGCGTTGCTGAGCAGAACTAGTCTATTCTCTCGAAGATCGACGCTCAGCCCAAGGCCTCGGGCGCGCCCTTCATCGTCGGTAGTGATTGGACTGTTGCGGCAGAGGACCTGGGCCAGACGGCGTGGGCAGATGCGTTGGATGCCGTGGTCGCCTCTCCCGAGCACGGCGCCTGTCAGCCTTCCAGGCGTTGCGTCGGATATTAAGTCGTTTCGCGCCAGATTGCAGGTCGTGCAGGGGCGGAAGTCTTTCAGCGCGTTCCCATCTCACCTCGCCCTCCAATCAGGCTAGTTTTGCCATCCTGTGGAGCCCCCGTGTCAGGTCAGGTTCGCTCGGGTTCCTGAGCGTTCCCCCACGTAGCCGCCCGCTGGGTGTCTGGCCCCCGCTCCTGCGGTCGATCCCTGGGGGCGTGTTGGGCAGTTATGTGCTGACCCCGGGCGGCTAACTCAAGATGAATGGGATGCGTTGTCGAGGGCTGCAGAGGCTCGGCGGCGCTGCCATTTCCAGGTCTCGCGGGGGGGCCGTGTCTTTGCAAATCCGATGGGAAATTTCCGTCTTCACCTGCCCCGCCCAAGTTCGCCAAGCTTTCGCCCGTTGCGTGTCGGTGGCGGAATGTCCATGATACTCTGGCAGATTTCAGTCGTGAGCCGACAGGCCGTCGCAGGTTTCAGTTGGTTGCTACAGCGGGTCGCCGTTCGCGCTTTCATCGGCTTCCAGGCGCCGCCGTCTGCGCCGCCTCGCCGGCGATGCTGCGGCGGGCGTCTCTTCTCCCAGCCTCTTCGGCCCGCTGCCTCGCCGACCTTGCGGGCGAGGATGCCGAGAGGCAGCGCCGCCTCTGCGCGCGGGCCAGGGAGGGGGAACGGGGGAAGTGGGTTGACGCGCTCCCAGTTGGGGGAATGTCGGCCCTCTATCGCTTCTCGTCTTTCCTTGACCCCTGGCGGCCGTCCGCCCTCTGTCGCGGTGCCCCTCGACCCTGCGCCTCGCTCGAGTCGATCGATGCCCTCGTGGCTGAGTGGAGGAAGTGGTGGCAGTTCGGTTGTCAGCATGAGTCCCTCCAGGGGCCTGGGCTCGGATGACCCCCGCCCGGGCCCGCGGTGGCTGAGCTCGCGAGGGCTCTAAGTGTTTCAAACGTTCCTCTGGTGCTGGTTTCGATCAGGTCTCCCCGCGTTCTCTTTTACTGCTGCCTCCTTCTGCGCTCAAAGCTCTGTGCGATATCTTTCATCGCATGGGGCGCAGAAAAGAGTGGCCGTCCTCGTGGAATCGTATCGTGCTCATCCTTGAGAGGACTGGGTGGGGTGGGGTGAGGCGGGGTGCGTGGTGGTGGTGGTGGTGGTGGTGGTGGTGGTGGTGGTGGTGGTGGTGGTGGGGGGAGGGGGCGGCCCTTGGTGCTGCTGCGTGTCCTGGCGCGGGTCCAGTGTCGCCTGAGACGTCCTCTGACTCGCATGTGGCAGTCGGCCAACTGTCGTAGTTTCTTCTGGCCCACCCACGGGAAGTCGCGTGACTGGTGTGTTTGGATTCAAGCTGCGTGGTTGGAGCTTTCCACGTGTTGCAGCAGAGATTGCCGCGCTGTTGCTCGATCTGAAGAAGGCATTCGAGCTGGTCCAGAACCCTCGCTTGATTGCTACTGCCGCAGCGACGGGCTGTCCGACGTGGCGACTGTACCTCCTGGTGCAAATCTATAGAGCACCGCGCATTTTAGATGTCGGTGGTGATGTTGGCTTCCTCGTGAGTTGAGCAAGCGATTGCGCCAGGGTGTACCTTTGCCACGTGCATGTTGCAACTCATTCTCTCAGGCTCTTCGGGCGCCGCCCAGGCGTCTCACCCCGCCGTTCAGCTGTCCGTCAAAGTTGGCGACTTCGGCCTCGTGGGGTGGGGCGCCGACATCAGGGTTTTTGGCGACGTCGCGTCGGCAGGCCGCCTCCTGGCCGAGCGGCTGCGCAGTGTCGATCTTCGTGTCGCGGCCGATAGGTCTAGTGTCTTGAGCAACGCCCCTGCCGTGGGCGTCGCCATCGCTGCCGAACTTAAGAGCCTCCAGCCCCTTCCCGTGCGCTCGGGGCGT